TATTTTATTAGAATGGAAAAGGAGCATATTGTAGAAGTTAGTCTTTTAGCGGCAAGATCTCGAGTAGAGGACTCAATTGTTCTGATCAAAGAGACTCAACAATCTTGGATGCAAAATAAATTGGATACAAAATGAAGAAGTATGATCATTATTTGTAAGTAATCGTGTGAAAAAAATCAGAAATCTCACGACACCTGAATGTTAGGTATATATGCCAGGTGAAGTTAATCCAGCTAACCTCCAATCTAGAGGCTGCTGTTTCCATCAGCTAGTGACATCTAGGTGGTGGGAAGGTCTTTCACAGCTGAAAGCTAATTCAACTAACTGGCCTTCCAGTGATTCATGATTTGAAAAGCTGTAGAGTAATTAAGCTATTTGGAAGCAGGAATCCATGAAAAATGAGTAATGTCGTTGCCAGGACTTGGACCTCTCGAATATGCACTGAGTGTGCTGACCATTGCACCATGAAGGCGGGAGCAATACCTTATATACTCCTTCTTTTAAAGGGCAACTGGGGATTAGGGCACCCAATCGCCAAATCTTGGTGGTGGAGAATCATCATCCACCAGCTTTTTTAGTTCAGGCACCAGTATAGAGTTCCTTTTTTTTTTTTTTTTTTTTTAATCCTGTTAAATTAAATGAATAATCGCTTGGTTCAAAGAACAGAAAGCGAAAACTCAAGAAGGGTTAATTACCCTTTATTCGTTTAAATTAAGATTAACAGTCGGCCCCTTCTTCGGGCGTACAGCAAAGCCTTCACTTGGGCTTAAACTCAAAATTAAGGAATACGAACTAACTAATGTCTGATTAACAGATTTAGCCAAAGCTAACACAGTTCTAAAGTAGTTGACCCGTAATCTTAGATTAGCTGGCGAACTATCAAAAGGCATCTAATACAGGTGAGCCTAACAACGGCTTAGAGAGACGTGGCCCTGAGATGGCAAATGCGCACTTCTCAGGAATCCAAATTCTTTCTCTCAAAGTCAGTTAAACTTGACTTAAGTACTATTTTCTTCCTCATTTGCATTAGCAGTATTCTAAAAACTCATTCTGGTAGGGGGTTGTAAATTGAAGCTAGATAAGACAAGAAGGGTTCACTAAATTAAAATAACTGTTATAAAATTGAAATATACCTTACAAGCTATATTGCAAGAAAAAAGAAAAATCAAAATTGCTTTGACCACCTGTTTCTCAAATCACATCTCTGTAATTCTTCCCTAGATAATAACCTCTGTGAATATCATGGAAGTAAGTGGTACTACAGATACTTCTCATGCTGGGTTGAAAAGAAAATAATTAAGCTTGTACAAGATGAAATGTTTACATGTCATACAAATAGGAAATTAAAAACTTTGAATGTTCACCGAAATGAGCAAGAAATCCTCCGTTTCTCACAATTCAGATCATGACTGACTCATAATGATAGAACATAAGAAATGCATATGCCGGTATGAAAATTTTGTTAAATATCTTAGGGGAAGGCAGAAAAACTACTCAAGGAGTCAAAAGGTACCACCTGTAAAATATAAAGGACAACATTTGAACGCATTCACAGTTCCATTTTCAGAAAGTAGACTACATGATTCAGCTGTATTAAAGTCATAGGAATGGACAAGAATGTCCATTGTTTTTGAAAGGAGATATTAAAGCATGGATATGTTTGTTCACGTATGCTGTCTACTGAGCTTAGAGCAGGTGATAGCTATGTCCATTGGTTCATTTTTCTAAGCTCTAATGAGATTTATTTCTAGAAGAGGAAGACCCAATGTTTTATACTGTGATAACGGTACAAACTTTTGCGCTTCTATTGCCCTAAGCGCTGGTGATTGGAATGAAATTCTTAAGCGTAACATCCTGCAGAGAATAGAATTGCAATGTAATCCTCTTCCTGCTCACTGGTGAGGCAGATGATGGGAGGAATTAGGTGGCATCGTTTTAAAGCAAATACTACGAAAAGTGTTGAAAAAGGCATATCTTTTCTTTGAAGAGATGACAGCCGTTTTACGCAGTGTTGAATCTGCAATAAATACACATCCTCTTATATCTCTGAGAGCAATAAATTGGTTGTACTCACACCAAATTAATTTTTACATAATATCCTTAATGTAAATGTTCAAGATTGTGATGATTTAGATATGAAAACCTTAAATAAACAGTTCCACCATCATCCAAAAAAAGGGGGGGGCAGATTTGCGTAATTGTTTCAGATCTGAATATCTCTGTTTTTTTAATTCAGCAAAAAGGAGTCAAAATTTTATAAGAATGAGATATCTGTAGGTGATACGTACTCATCTGCTGTGAAAATATCAAATGCATTACCTGGCCAGTAGGATATCGAATTAATTCCAAGATCGGACAGGCTAAGACGTATACAAACAACTTATTATTGATCAAAATCGTAAAAACAACCTTGTATTTAACGTAAGAATATTGAAACACCTTCTTTTTTGATCTTCCTCTTATATTTATCTGGCTTTTCATACCTTATTAAGTATTTCTACATATTCTTTTTCCAGTGCTTCATTTTAGGATGGTAGATTTGCTTTTGGGTTGGCCTCTGTTAGACTGCTTCTGAGATGAAGCCTTAGAAAGAGGTCTAATCTTTGAGGGATAAAAATCGATTTTTTATTTTATTATGCAAAGAAAAGGAAGCTTTATAATCGTGAAAAATTTCGGATATCATATTTCAATGGTATTATTCATTTGGACGATTTTTTGAGGTACATGCAGAAAGAATAAAGGACTGTTTTTTTCTTTTTATTGTTCAAAAGTATTTTCTGTGGCATCTGTACGTAGTTATATATTGTACATTTTGTCTAGAAATGTACATTTTCTAGTTATACATATGTATGTATAACTAGAAAATTATTCGCCATAAAACATTGAAATTTTGTGTATGGGACTGCTGTAATATCTTTGACAATGTCAAATTTTTAAAAAAGTTAATTTTTGACAAATAATGAAATCTAACTACATGTATGATATATAACATTGTCACATGAATACAGGTTCGTAATGGATTGAATACACGCAGGATTGAATATAGTCTGATAAAATTTATTTTTACGAAAGAAGCATTTTACTGTTCTAGAACTTTCCATAAAAGTACTCGAACAGGTTTTCTCGGTATGACAGAGTACAGTCAGTAGTCACTGCTTTAAACTATTGAGAACGTTAAGCAGAATGTAGTGCAAAGTGCATGTGAAGATTGAAACTCGCATGGAGATCTAACACTGAACTAAAAACTGAGAACTGATACTTTGATACTAATATTTACGTTGGTGTCCGAGTAAAATTTTCATGTTATTACTAGCACCTCAAATAACCCCGATTAGGTGAATCACATTTATCAAAATAATTAGACCTTGAAACTTTATTCACCTATATAAAATCTGCAAATAAGTCTTGTAAGATCTAATCTTCTTTGCTAGCATAAGCCGATTCTAGACCTACATTGAAAGTTTGTGTAGTGACTTATCGCTAAGACTAGAAAATGAATACAACAGGGGAAGGGTGCAAAAGACCCTTTTAATTGAACTCTCTTATTTACAGATGGCATGTTCCTACGTGCTTACAGTTTCACCATCCACTTGTGGTGAGGAGCTTAAAAATAATGGTAATAAACTAAATTTAAAAGACAAGCTAGTAGTTCAAGACTACACAAATTAATTTAACCTTGCAAGTTGACTCAACCTACACCGGCATGATATTAAACTTCGGCGGCAGGAATGCAAAGTCAAGATTCAAAATTCGAACAGCTGGTTAGTAGTAACAGTGTGCACAGCCAATACCGAAAACAAGCTCTAACCTTTTCAATACTACAGCTTAAATACACTCTCATTCACCCTAATGCATTTACATATTGGCGAGGAAATGTGAGAGAAGTAAAGACTGACAAAAAAGGCTAACAAATTAAAATAAGTATTTGTAAAAATAATAGGTTAGGTTATTTAATTATGCTCGAGGGCTATCTGCCTAAAGGGAGGGATGCCTTCGTGGAGGACTTTCTAAGGGAAACTGACTCGTATACACGTTACACATGGGGAAAACCACGAAAACACCCATTCAGCCAGCCCGTTCACGGGATGTAAAAACAATATAAACCCTATAGGCTGAGAACTTACGCTCTCTCCGGCCTTATGTAGTTTTCCTTGGCTTCCGAGAAATATCTAGTATCTTACATGTCTTGAAATTACTGGAAGGTATATGTGGTTAAAGTTACACGTAAGGACCACATGTGGTTATAATCACATATAGGAATCAATTATAGTTATTCAATTAGAGTACTAATTACAGTTACACAGGGAACCAGACCAAAATATCGCTAAATGGTCTTGAGTCGATCGAGTTGACAGCCGGGTAGCGAGTGCCGAGTAGGTCGTCGAGTTCACCGAAGGAGTCTCTTAGTGTATTGCGGTTAGTGCATCGTCGAGAGAGCGTGTCGAGCTGCGGGAATGACTGAACCAAAAAGTCGGGAGCCGTGCTCTGTGTGTCGTCGAGTGCATTGCAAGTTGTAGCGTTTAGAGTCTCCAGAGTACATGGAGTTGTGAGAACGACCAAGCAGAGTCGGGAGCTGTACTCTGGTGCTTTGCCTTGAAGCTGTCTTCACCGTGATTGCCTGAAAACCTGGAGGCTGTGTCGCTGATCGTGACAGCGTGTTTAAAGTAGTTCATCGACGACTGTAAAAACGTGTTTTGGAGCTGCCTGACAATATTGGGCAATAAAGTGTGTTTCAATACTTCAACTGTCATCATTATTCACTCCAAATCCTCACGAATCCCGTACGAAACTGGTGTCAGAAGAAAAACATAACAATAAGAATTCATTTATGGTGCATTTTTTATCACATGTATTTTTTAGTATTTTTAATGTATGTATTTTTTTTAGATGCTCCTTCAGAGACCTATAGGTAGTGTTTTTCATACATAAACTGGTATTTATGCTTTTATGCTTATTTTTTATGGCTAGCAGTAATATTAAATTATGATTTTTCTTTTCAGGTCTTGGTAAAAGTTGCCTCTGAAGTCAGAGAGAGAGGCTCAATGGTAACTGAATCTGTGAAACATTATGCTACGTATGTTGCAAACAGAAACAAAATTCCTTCAGCAACTGAAGAAATTTCTGATTTGCATATTGATCACCCTATTTTAAATGAAAATATGAATCTTTCTAATCCAAGTACTCTTCAGGGAAATAGGCAGATAGAAAAAGAATCTTTCAAAAGTCCTGAGTACACTGAAGTTGTGTTTACTGCACCTCAGGGAAACATAAAAACTGAAAAGGAATCTCTCAAAAGTCCCGAATCTACTGAAGCTGTGTTTACTTCGCATCAAACATTAATAGATATCCAAATACCTAAAGAAATCTTGCCACAGCAAAAGATTCAGAAATCAAGAATTAAACCTCAGGTAAAGGGTAGAACCTTTATTTTTCTTGCCTTTTTTTTATTTTATTTTATTTTATTTTATTTTATTTTTTATTTTTATTATTATTATTGAGTAGTTTGTTAAATTCACAAATAAATTTTAACTAGAAATTGTAAATAATGCTATTTTATACTATTTCTGAGAATTATTTTCTGGATCTTTTTTGTCACTGTATTTTATTGTCTTGGAATAGTTAGAAATTAAAAAATTAAAAAAAAAAAAAAAAAGAGAGAGAGAGATTTTGTATTTTACTAAAATTGACAGTTTAAAGTTAGTTTGCTGAACTGATATTCAGCAGAATTACAAAATAAATAGGGATATAATTTAAATTATGATGGGTGAGTTGTTTCTAAAAATTTCTTGGAATACTAGAAGGCATTTTTAAAAATGGATGGGTTTTCCCCCCATGGAGATTAGTTAATCAGCAGTGTCAAAAAAGGCAGTCACAGACTCTTATTAGGTCATATAGAGATTATTAGGAATAAATTAATTTTTTTATTTTCATGAATTTAATTGATTTTTGAAAGGTATTTCTTCATTTTTCTATGCTTGTGTAACCATTTATGACAAACTCTTGTGGACTATCTATCTGCTTGAGAAGAATACCTTTTGAAAGACTTCAAGGAAAACTAGCTTATGGAGAAAATTATGAAAATATTTGCATAACCAGTTCAACTACTGGCATTCAGTATGGGCCAAGCTAACAGTATTCTTCACTTTTAAAAACCTTCTATTTTTTAATAAATTGGAATTTTCAACGAAGTGAGCTTTTGTTGTAGAATTTAAATAAAATTTTTAAAAAAACTGCAAGAGAAAATATCACTCTATAATGAAAGTTTCCCGCCACCACAAATATAGTCTGCACAAACAGTTTGCGTCGATGTGTTAAATAATATTTTGTCAAATGATTTTTGGCATTTGAAAGAGCCTTGTTTAAGAATGTGATGTTGTGAAATTTGTAAAAAAAAATATTAAATACAGAGTGTCTGAAATGAAGCTATCACACTACCAGATTAAAAAACTGCTCAGTGGCATAACAGCCCCAGTGCGCCAATGCCTGCAGTGCCCGAAATCTGCTCTCTTGACCGTGGGCACCGGGGTGCATAAGCATATGCCCTAAACAAGTGGTCAGCTTGTCGCAGGACCCCAGTGTTTAGTCCCCAAGCGAACTGGGTACTCATATTATCGACCCAAAGGGTGGAAAATCAAGGGATGAAAGGCTGAGTCAACCTTACCCAGCCTGGGGATCGAACCTATGGTGCTGCTGTGCGATGCACTAGCCACTGTGCCACCGGGCCTCACGCTACCAGATTAGAACCATCATTTACTTTCAGTTCTGTTGCAGAATGTCACCAAATTATGTGTATAGCTTTAGTTACTAATGTTTTATCATATGATACTTTGAAGGTTTGGTACCGAAAGTTCAAAAAACAAGGACTATGACATTTAAATATCAGAGCATTCTGGCTGCCCTACTGATGTTGATGTGACCCGCCTACGAAAATCTGTGAAAGAAGATCCACTCGTAACCACTCGTAAGCTTGCTAAGGAGTTAGACATTAGTGCCTTGTCCATTAGTCATGCTGTGCATCACATAAACTTGACATACAAGTTAAATCGCTGGTTTCAGCATGAGCTAACTCAAACAGATGAGGATGTGTTCGAGTCTGCATTAATTTGCTAATATCAATGGAAGGACAAAATTTTGGACTGAATCATCATTTGTGATGAAAAGTAGATTTATTTCACTAACACAGGCCAAAAAAGGGTTGGTCTGCATCGCAAAGCACAGTTTGACTACCAAAAAGATGATGCTTTGTATCTAGGGGGCTGCTGTGGTATTATCCCCAAAGAGTATCTTTAAAAAAGATAAAATCCTCAACAGTAAGTTGTACAGCAAGATGCTAGTCCAACTTGACGCTGGTATCAGGGAAAAATGTTGAACTGAGTTTCGGCGAAAAAAGGTAATGTTCCGTCAAGATAATGCAAAACCACATATGTCTTCATTCACCGGCTGGACTCTGTATAGACTCAAATTCGGGATCTTTTGCCACACCCACCATATAACCCCGACATCGCTTTTTCGGACTTCCAGCCTTTTATCACACTTGCAGCTACATCTTGCTGGTACTATCTTCCATTCTGCACCGGACGTTTGAAATGAGTATCTGTTTATGGACTGGCAACCACCAAGTTTCTGGGCTGAAGGCTTTCGAAAAATGCCAAAACATTTGGTGGAAAACCATAGATTTGGGTAGTTACTACCTGCACTAAAGGTACTGCTTTCATGTTTTCCCCCTAACTTTATTAAGAACATTTATTAAGAAAATCTTTTGTTGCAACTAAATATTTAATGAATGAACCTCATGGGATGAGTGCTTTGACTTGGTGATGAAATTGTGTGTGTTTATTCAAATTTGATAGATAGCATTTGTGAATACAAGATTTTATTATTAATGTTTCAGTATTGCTTTGATTTTTCTTAGTTTTAAGTATGGCTTCCTCCTCAGGGATTGAACAGGCCGAGACGTGCAGTGCTTAGGAAGGCAGCAGTGTTATGAATTTTATACATATGCAAATAATTTTTGAAATTACATCTGAAACTGTGTTTTTTTTTTTTTTTTTTTTTTTTTTTTTTTTTTTTTTTTTTTTTTTTTTTTTTGTTGTTGTTGTTGTTGTTGTTGTTGTTGTATAATGTAACTTTAAAATCTAAGGAAGCAAAGCTTTGCCGGAAATGTAAGAATATTGGGCCAAGTTTATTTAACATTATGTAAATGGCTGTCTCACTAAATTGGTGATGGTTTGAGCTACTAACTTCTGTTGCCAAACTTGACGACATTTTGATTTGGTCCATGTATAATTCTAACTAGTACTGTAATTGATGCTATATGTCGCTATAACCTTATCTGGTCCTGATATGCCTTCCACTAATTTCAAGAAATGGAAGGTTCTAGAAATCTCTTAGCGGCAGGGAAAAACTATGTAAGATCAGGGAGAGCATCAGATCTGAGTAGTAGTTGCTAGTTCAGAGCTGAATTCTGAGTACTGAAATATCGGTGAGAGCATCGCTTTTTCGATGCGCTTTACATTACTTTGTGTTTAACATTCTTTCTTAGTAGTTCGAAGTGTAACTACTGATTGTACTGTATGATACTGAAAAGAGCTGTGCCAGTGTTTTTATGTAAAGTTCTAGAGCTGATAAAAAGTTTCTTTTCGTAAAATAAATTTTATTAAGGTATCATTGGTTCTGTGTATATTCAATCCATTACGAATCTGTACGTAAGTAACACATATGTATACATATATATATTCACACTTATAAAGAGTAGTCATAATTAAAACAGTAACAAAATAAAAAAGAAAGGAGATAAATCTGTGCAGAACCTGTTAGATCATAATAAATTGATAATGAAGTTAAAGGTGGGAACGTTAAAGGTCTCAAATGGTTCCGAGGAATGAAATATGTAATCGGAACTCATTAATCAACTTGATTATTATGCCTCAAACCTGTTTATTATGCTTACTATGCCCAATTATGCTTCAAAACACTTTTCCCTTGACAAGTTCTGTTTGAAACGTTAAACAGAGGAGATTAATTTTTGGTCAATTTTATTGCAGTTTGTACTTAAATCTCTAACTCATTAATCAACTTGATTATTATGCCTCAAACCTGTTTATTATGCTTACTATGACCAAAATATGCTTCAAAACACGTTTCCCTTGACAAGTTCTGTTTGAAATGTTAAACAGAGGAGATTAATTTTTGGTCAATTTTATTGCAGTTTGTACTTAAATCTCTTGTTCTGTTATTTTGGAGATTTTTTTAAACACTTCAACTTTTAATTTGTACTCTTTATAAAGTATTTCTCCCGCCTTCTTAGTGTGCCTTCGTGGTGTAGTGGTCTACACGCTCGCCGCGTATTCGAGAGGTCCGAGGATTCCCGACGAGAGCATTGCTCATTATTTAAGTCTCCTGCTTCAAAATCCTAATGCTCTGCAGTGGCACCCAAACTAAAAAAAGTTGGTGGATGACAATTCTCCACCATCAGGATTTGGCGATGGGGTCCCCTAATCCCCAGTCGCCCTTCAAGGGTATTTCTCCCGCTTTCTTAGCATGCCTTTGTGGTGTAGTAGTCTGCACGCTCGGCGCATATTCGAGAGGTCCATGGTTAGATTCCCAGCAAGGGCATTGCTCAATTTTTGAGTTTCCTGCTTCCAAAATCCTAATGTCTCTACTCTTTTATTCTCTTTTGCTCAATTTTTGTAACCTGTTCCCAGAGATAGAAATAGGTAGACTTTTATAAATTTTGTATCTAAATTTATATTTAATTTACGTTTCAACCTTTAACTTCATTATCAATGTGTTATACAGTCAAAAGTCGTTAATTCGGACACCCATAATCTGGAATGATCTATAATCCGGACCTCAAAGCTAAAAACTTTCTGCGCATGCGCCGCGTTGACGCATGCGCATAGGCGTTTAAGCGTGTGCGTAAGACCTTTACGACTGCGCATTTGCGTGTGCACAAGCGCAGAATACGTTTTCGCTGCGCGTTTAATGTATAACGGACGGTATAAGCTAAAATTATCTAATTGTCTATTTCAGTTAATGTTGATGATTGCGTTGTCCCTTAATCTTCGAATTGGATCCGGCTTATTATTTTTTGCAGACTGTAAGAGCAATTTTATAAAAGTAAGCTTGAACTTTCGATTATGTCAAATACATTTTCCGATGCTGGAGCTCCCAAAGGATCTACGAAAACGAAAGTATGTTTCGATGTCCATCAAACAAAAAGTGGAATTGCTCCAAAAAATGGATAAAGGCATATCCTTTGTTTATCTAACCGTTCCGAAATCTGTTTATCAATTTCACGCAGCTCTGCGCGGGGGGGGGGGACGTGGCGGAGCACAATGAACTGGAAGTTGATCTGTCAACACTATCATTATCTTCAGGGCAGATGTTTTTATTTTATTTGGCTTAT